CACAGAATACATGTTGATCAGACTCATTTTACAGAAGTGTAAATTAGAGAAAAATTGTTCAAGAATTGCTTAACTTAATTGATAAATGGCAATTCTCTGTCAAATTTGTTTACTTTTACCCCATATATTTTATTTGGTCAATGAATGGACTATACATGTGTTTAGTTCTTGAGTAAAGGATGTATCAACTAAACTTGTTTATAGTTTTACCACCGTATTCTTACTAATTTCCTTTTTTACTTTGAAAGTTTATTTTCTGCATCTAAGCATAAATCAATAGATGGCCAGGACTACTGAAAAATGATCATGAATAGTAAAGACTGTTGTTACTTTTAGGTGCCTTAAGACAAATATGACTCATAGTAACCATATGAACAACACATTTGAAGCTATCTTATCCTGTGCCATCTTCACATTTCCTGATACATAAGAGACTATTGTGACATCACTGTGTCAATCCACTTGGTCAAGGATCTTCCTCTCCTTTGCCCAACTTTCTGAGCATTATGTCCCTCTCCAAGACATCGCCCTTCCTAGCAACATGCCTGAAGTATGTGAGTCAAAGCCCCATCATCTTTGCCTCCAAAAAAGCATTCTGGTTGGACCCTCTCCAAAACATAGTTGTTTGGCCATCTACAATGGCTCTCTTATCCAACATCACAGCCTAAAGGTATCAATTTTTCTCTTCTCATTCTTATTCAGTGTCCCAGTCTCAGATGCATTGCAAGTGATCTGAAAGACCATGGCCTGATTCAGGAATACCTTAGTCCTTGGATTGGCATCATTAAAAATTCGGAGACCTCATTAACTACAGTCTTCCCCAGTACAATACATCTCCTGGTTTCTTTACTGCTGTTACCAAGTGTGTTAATTGTAGATCCAAGTAATAGGAAGTTGTTGACAGTTTCAATCTTTTCTCTAAAATGATGTTGACTATTGGGCCAGTGGCAAGAATCTTTGTTTTCTTAACACTGAGATGCAACCTATATTGAGGCTCTATTCTTTGATCTTCTGCAGCAGGTGCCTCAAGTCCTCCTCACTTTCATCAAGCAAGTTTGTGTCATTTGCCTAATGCAGATTATTGATGAGTCTCCCCCTGGTCCTGATGCCGTGTTCTTCTTTATAGAGTCCAACTTCTTGATTAGTTTTCTCAGTATACAGATTGAATAGGTACTGAGGAAGAATACAACCCTGATACACTCCCTTTTTAATTTTAAACCGTGTAGTGTTCCCTTGCTCTGTTTGCACAATAATTTTTTGGTCTAAGTATACGTTATGCATGAGCACTATTAAGGGTTCTGGGATTCTCAAGTTGCCCATTAATTGTTATGCTCCATAGTCAAATGCCTTTGCATAGTCAATAAAACATCAAGATTCTTCTGGTATTCTTTACTTTCAGCCAGGATCCATCTGACATCAGCAAAGATATCCCTGGTACCATGACATCTTCTAAATCCTGCTTGAATTTCTGTCAGCTCTCTATGTACCATTCTAACAGTTTTTGAATGATCTTCAGCAGTATTTGGCTTGCATGTGATATTAATGGCATTGTTTGATAGCTTCCACATTCTGTTGGGTCACCTTTCTTGGGAATGGGAACAAATTTGAATCTCTTCCAAACCATTAACCAGACAGCTGTCCTCCAAAATCCCTCACATAGGCTGGTGAGTACATGCTGTGCTGCATCTGATAATTGAAAAAGTGAATTGGTAAGCCATTGATTCATGAGGCCTTATTTTTGGCTAATGTCCTCAATACAGCTTCCACTCCATCCTTCATTACCATTGGCTCCTGCTCATATTGTACTTCTTGAAATTTTTCAGTGTTAGATATTTTTGGTACAGTGATTCTGTGTATTCTCTCCATCTTCTTTTGAGGTTGGGTCATTCAACATGTTGTCCATGGCTTCTTTCAATATTGCGACTTGATACTTTAATTTGTTTTTAATTCTTTCAGCATAAGAAATGGAGAGAGTTCTTCTCTTTTTATTCTCAAATTCCACCTCTCTGCACATCCCATTATAATACTTTGCTTTCTCTTCTCAAACTGCTATTTGTAATCTTCTGTTCAGTTCTTTTACTTCGGTATACGTTCTCTTTGTTTTGACTTCTCTATTCTCTAGTGCAATTTTTAGAGTTTCTAGTTCAAATTTTAGAGTTTTAGGAAGCCTGTAACAACCACATTTATTGTGCTAAACTACCAATTGATAAAATTTTACTGTATGTGTGTGTGTGTGTGTGTGTGTGTATTCACTTCTTTCATTATGTTGCTGTTGTTGTTATGTGCCGTCGAGTCAGTTGTGACTTATAGCAACCCTATGTACAACAACCGTAAGCCTTGTTCTGTCCTGTGTCATTCTCACTCTCTCTGACACATCCACCCTGATTACCCCATAGGCTACTGTTTTATTATGGATTTATTTAATTTGGAAGGATATGCTATCTTTATTATTATTCTTTATTATTACTATATTTTTATACCATTTATAAGACCTTTCTTTTTAAAGTAAAACAACCAATAGATTTTTTAGAATGCATTAATTCATTAATTAAGTATATTTATGAGTGTTTTAGGGAGCTCTGGTGGCTTAGTGGTAAGGAATTGTTCTACGAACCCAATGATATAAAGTTCAAATGTACCAGTTACTCTGTGGGAGAATGATGGGCGGTCTTCTACGACATTTACTGGCTCTAAAAACTCTCTGGTGTGTCATCTGTAAGTCAGTTCTGACTTGATAGAACATAAAACAACTACTTAAATGTTTTTGTTCCATTCCAGAAATTCTAGTACACTCTTTCCTGTGGTTGACTAGCTCTTTAATTCACTACAGAAATTATTGTTAAATTATTATGAATTATGGTTTTATTCACTGAAATATGCTCAGCTCTCAAATGATTCATTGTACTGTGTTTGCTTGAATACATTTTTAGATAATATTCCTTTTCCTAAATCTTCTTGTAAATGTAACATTTATCAAGTGCCCTAGATGATGCATAGAACAATATTGAAGTATACATTTTGACCTTGAGCATTTTTGTTTTGTTCTAAAGTCACTTATATCTGCCTATTCATCAGAATAAACATTGCTTTAAATTAATTTTGTTGTGCAAACATATTGTCTGTGCTTCTAAATAAATATTTATATCACACCAAGCTGTTTTACAGCTCGATTTGGTGTTTTCAAAGTCATTATCTTTGTTTCATCATTTACTTCAAGATATGCAGAACCATGTATAATTTATTGAAGACTTGATGAGCTGTGAGTTTGCCTGCTGATAGCAATAACTCTACAGTATGATAATATTTTAGAGTTTCCACCATGGTCTCCCTCAGAGAGAATTGTTTTATTTTGTTTTGTTTTTCACATGATTGAATGAAGATTATAAAGCTGACTGAAGAATTTGTTCCTAAATTTAGGATACTAAAAGTAGCTTAGATTCATATCATTTCTTGCAAGAACAAGAAAAACCACAGCAGGACTTTACTACTATCATGACCAAATGATCTCTAGGTTTCAGTTACACAGATGCTCCAGGCCATAGATGACAACTTGTTATTTCAGGTGATAGGTGATATTTGATTAATTATTACAGCCTTAGAAATTGTTGACAGTTCTACTCTGTCCTATAAGTTCACTATCAGTTAGCATTGACTTGATGACATAAGGTTTAAAAATAAATAAATTAATAAATAAAACAATTGCCATCAAGTTGCTTCTGACTCAAGGTGTTCTCATATGTGTTATCAAAGACCTGTAATCCATAGGGCTTTCATTAAATGACTTTCCAGAAGTAGATAACCAGTGCTTCCTTGAGGGATGTCTCTAGGTATATACAAGGCTCAATACTAAGGATAGCAGCCAGTGCACTAAGAATCTCCAGTACTCAAGAAAAGTATAATAATTGTGTTTTTCCCACCTCCCATGCAATAATTTCTGCTTTTGATCCACAGAAAAGAAAAAGTTAATAAAGGTCTATTGTTGTCTTTGGTTGCAATCAAATTGAGCACTACTCATCGCAACCCTATGAACAAAAGGCCTGAACCCTTTCTATAACTATCATCATTTATCCAAGTTCATAGAGTTTCCAGAGGTGTGTTGTTTAGCTACAATCTATTAAAAAAATTGAAAAAATATGTGACTTTTTTTATCTTTAAGAATATCACTTTCCTGGACTCATTTTGAAAAAAAGGAAAATTTCATTGTAGCTAACATTTTAAGATATTAACACTGTACTATATTGACAACTTATTTTCATTTATTGGTTAAAATGAAATTTTTCCTCAGTTCACATTGAACTTGTTAATAGAATATTTCTTCTGGTGCCAGAGTCAAGCCAGTTAGGTATCATGGACCTGAATCTGACTACTGGAAACCTTTAAGTTGACTTCAGTCCCTTGGTAATAAATAAGAAGGGTGTTGTGAGCAATGGTTTTTTAAATTCTAGATTTAAAAATAAAGCATAGCAAAGCCCATCTATTAATGCTAATTCTTGGCAACCCATGTGTTAAAGAGTAGAATATGTGTTTTTCAGTGTGTGATTCTTCGAAGCAAATTCTTTTTGCTACTTCTAAAGTGCCTCTGGGTAAATTGGAGTCCTCAGGTTTTTTATTCCTGTATTGACTTAAACTCCCAAGCTTTTATTCCTATTTATCGAAATGATTAGCTGCTCATAACATACAGAAGTCTAGAGGGAAGATAATTCATTTCATATATTTACCTAGTATTTTAGTCATAATGATTCCACTAAGGATATTTTGAAATTTTGGTAAGAGAGAAATTCAAAGAATTTCACTCACAACGGGAAAAACAAAACAAACCAAAACCAAAACCTCATAAAATATAAATATATGGGTTTTTTTTAAAGCAAACAAATCAGGATTTTATTTATTATAGTCTATATTCTTAAAGTTTAAAGAATGGTCTTGTTCGTTAAGTATGAAAAAAGCCATCTCTTTTTAAATAAATAATTTACATATTTATCTTTTCCTTTCTCTTTTAGCATGTGGAGAAACACTACAAGAATCCAATGGCAACCTTTCCTCCCCAGGATTTCCAAATGGCTATCCTTCTTATACACACTGCATCTGGAGAGTCTCTGTGACCCCAGGGGAGAAGGTAGTTTATACAATCAAGATTTCTTTTTGAGACTCATAAATGCAGAGGTTTACTCTAAATCTCTTAAATACAATTTGTTATATTTAAAAATCTTATTTAACTCTTTCAATAGAGTGTTAAAAACTTGGAAAATTTATAATAAAATTATATAGGTTCCAGTTTATTTAAAGATAATTTTGAAGATGTTGCTGTTGAGTGCCATTGAGTCCAGTACAACCCATAGTGACCCTATGAACAACAGATATTAACCCTGTATTATCCTGTGCTGTTCTCTGACACACTCAAGCCAGTTGCAGCATGTATTGTGTCAATCTATCCATTTTAAATTCAATCCATTTTAAAATAGCATTAAACATTATTCACATAATATGTTCTCAGACAAGACGAATTAAGTTGAAATGCAGAGTCAAAAAGACAATTAGAAAAATACCCATACAGTTGAACATTAAAAAAAAAAATCAACACTTTAAATTCCTAATTCTCTCAAAAAGGTCTTTTAATTAGGATTTCCAAGTGTATTATAACTACAATACTTAATGAGTCTTGTACATTATAACTGAATTGATAATGAAAAGAACATTCCGTCTTAAATGCTTAAAAGCTCAAAACTAATGAGTTAAACATCATCTATATACAAAAGTTAACAGGGACTAAAAAACACATGGGAAGACTTATGAAGAATATAATAAATAAAAATGAAATTAATGAGTAAATTAGTGTATGGTACGGGGTATGAAAAAATTGATTCTTTGAATTGAGTTATAAAACAGGCAAACAGGTGGCCTAGTGGCAAGAAGGTGCACTGCAATTTCAGAGGTGTGCAGTTCGAATTCACCAGATGCTCTGCTGAAGAAGGAGGAACAATCTCCTCCTGTACCAGTCAGATCTGTTTGACAGTACACACACACAAAAATAATGAAATAAAATAAAAAATTAAAAAACAAACAAAAAACAACAGGCAAACAGGTGAAAAGATAGAAGAATAAACAAAATAAAAGTGAAAATATAGCTACCTAATATTTAAAATTAGATTATTGTGCCTAGAGATACCATAGACATATGTTAAAAAATATGTAGTACATTTCTAAAACTATCTCCTCTGTTGAGTAGGTGGTTGGCAAGCAAATATAGAAGGCACATGTTATTTTCACAGAAAGCAAGATACATAATTTTGTTTTACATTTAACATTTTAAGTGATCTGGAATGTGTCCAATACATTCATTATCAGAGGCAGAATGTGATGACATTTAAAGAACTCTTTATATTACTAATAATTGAATATAACTATAGGTATGGAGTTGTTGTTTACTATTCAGTTGGAATTGACCCATAGCTGAGACTCCAGCAGGTTTTCAGTGTCAGTTATCACATGCTTCTTAGAGGCAAAGATTCTGAAGCTCTGTCTGACATACTTTGGGCATGTTGCATGGAGGGACCAGTCCTTGGACTGAGGCATAATGCTTGAGAGGGTGTAGAGAGAGCACAGGATAGAAGACCCCAGACGAAATGGAATGATTCAGTGACTGGCATAATGGAAATTACTCATCAGCACACAACAACAACAACAATAACCACATGGGAGGAGATTGCCCAACATTCTGTCCCAGAGCATCTGGTGAATTCAAAGGGCAAGCCTTCAGGATTGCAGTGCAGTTTCTTATCATTGGGCCACCAGAGCTCCTATTGGACTGCAGTCTTCAAATGAATTTAAGCTCAACATCACTACCTAGCCAATTGCTACCATCATGATAGATGGCGAAAAGCTTGAAATTGTTAACAATTTCAGTTTACTTTGTTCCATATTCAATAATCTTGGCACCAGCAATCAGGAAATCAAAAGATGAATTGTGTCAGGAAAATGTGCTATCACATACAGAGTTGCTTCAGAGAGCTAGACAATGACTAATGATGACAGAAAAGAATTGATGCCATTGAGTTGTGATGCTGGAGAAGAATCTTTTTTTTTTAAAATGTATTAATTTTAGTGAACATTTAGAGAGATTTTGGATTTCCATTCATTGTTGCACTTTTCTCCCTGCCCACCACTCCCCACCCCCAGTTTGCCTTTCTCTTTGAAAAGTAAAAGAAAAATTGCTTCATTGGTATACAATCTCCCCACCACCACACACACACACACCCACTCGGAGTATATGCAACTAATCAACCTTCATTCTGGACTCTTGTGATAACCATAATACCCTATCATATATCTTATTGAACCTAGTATCTCCCTCTTCTGTTTTAATGCAGTATGCATAATTTATCCAGTTTTTCTCCTTCTTATTCCAACCCTGATGTCAGTCCCATTCTACAACAATGGCATTATGCAGTGTTTGTCCTTTTGTGACTGAGATATTTAATTCAGCATAATGTCCTCCATGGCCACCCATTTTGAATAATATTGCATGAGTTCCTTGCTTTTCAATGCAACACAGCATTCCATTGTGTGAATATACCACAGTTTCTCTATCCATTTGTTTGTTGATGGGCACTTAGGTTTGTTTCCAACTCCTTGCTATTGTGAACAAAGCTGTGATAAACATGGGTGTGCATATATCTGCTTGGATGGTGGTTGTGGTCTCTTTAGGGTATATTCCTTATAGCGGAATTGCTGGGTCAAATGGTATCTCTATTTGCAACTTTTTGAGAAAGCGTTATACCACTGTCCACAGTGGCTGTATCATTTTACACTTCCACCAACACTGAATAAGAGTTTTAGTCTCTCCACAACCTCACCAGCATTTGTTGCTTTCTGTTCTGTTAAAATTTGCTAGTCTTACTGGGATGGGTTGATATCTCATAGTTATCTTAATTTTCATGTCTCTTAGAGTTAGGGATTTTGAGCATTTCTTCATGTGCTTGTTGGCCACCTCCATGTCTTTTGAAGTGTTTGTTCTTATCCTGTGCCCATTTTTCAATTGAATTATTTACCTTTATCTTCTTGTGGTGTTCAAGTATTTTATAATTCTAGATATAAGTCCCTTATCTGCCAAAGCAAACAAAAAGAGCCACATCATTCTATCAATTGATGCAGAAAAGGCCTTTGACAAAATCCAACACCATTTCCTGATTAAAAGACTCAACAAAATAGGACTAGAGGGGAATTTTTTCAACATAATAAGTATTTATGAAAACCCAAGAGCGAACATTATTCTCAATGGAGAGAGGTTAATGGCATTCCCTTTAAGAACAGGAACTAGGCAAGGATTCCCACTATCACCTTTCTTATTCAGTATTGTATTGGAAGTCTTAGTGATAGCAATAAGACAAGAGAAGGAAATAAGAGGTATCCAAATTGGCAAAGAGGAAGTAAAGTTATCTCTCTATGCAGAGGATATGATAGTATACTTAGAAAACCCTAAAGACTCAGCCAGAAAACTATTGGACATAGTTGACCAAGTCCGCAAAGTAGCAGGATACAAGATCAATATACAAAAATCAGTTGGATTTCTCTACAGTGACAAAGAGAATACAGAGCTGAGCTAAGAAAAAACAATACCCTTCACCATAGCTAATTACAGGATTAAATATTTGGGAGTAAATCTAACCAAATGCACAAAGGCTCTATTCAAAGAATATTACAAAACATTACTACAAGATACAAAAAGAGACCTGGAAAAGTGGAGAAGAATATTAAACATACCATGCTGTCTTAGAGAGGCTGAAACCAAATTTCTCCTTGAAAGCTAGAATTTTGAAGCTCCATCTCACATACTTTGGGCACGTGGCCGGGAGTGACCAATCCTTGGAGAAGGACACCATGGTTGATAGGTGAGAGGAAGACCTTGGATAAGATTTGGGCAAGTAGTCAGGAGTGACCAATCCTTGAAGAAGGACACCATGGTTGGTAGGGTAGAGGGACAGCTTAGGAGAGGAAGACCTCGGATAAGATGGAATGATACCGTAAATGGGGCTACAGGGATATTTAGTTGGAGTCAGTGAGACTGGCTCAGGACAGGACAGGCTTTGGAGCTGTTGTACATAGGGTTGCTATGAGTCGCAGGTAACTCAACGGCACATAACAGTGACAATTATCAAAAGCAGAACAGTACATAGATTGTCCTTCAATCTTTCTTCTATTAAATACCATTATATTCAGTCGTGTTGGTTTTTTGTTGTTGTTGTTCTTCAAATTAATGATTTATTTCCATCTTAAGACTAACAGAGGAGTCCAAACAGACCGGAGTACTTGGTGACAGTCAATGCAGAAAGGACACACCTGACTTGTGTACAGTGAGGGAGACACATTTTCAGGGAAACCTTTTCCTGTATTGTGTATCCAAGCAAGAAAACCAACACTCTACTTCCCCCAACTTAATTTGGGGAAAATGGCCACACATCAGCTGTCTTTATGCATAATTGATCCATCTTGAAATGGAGTCGCCAGAGGTCTTTAGTCGAGGGGTCAAATGGGCTCCGGATGTCTGCGTGGTCTTGGACAGGTGAGGAGAAAGCATTTACATGAAATCCAAAAGGAGCTTTAACCATGTCCACTCTGGAGGGACACTGCCACGCTGCTCTGACAGAAGGTAAGCCCCTCCCACCTCCATGCTAAATAGAAAAGTATTACTTTTATTCAAGCTAACTTGAACTGGGTCAAGCAGCTGAAGAATAAAGAATCAAACTATTCTCTTCAGCCCCCAAGAGGTGAACTCTGTGCCATGCCCCCGCTCCTTCAGATGGTGACTCACCGTCAGTTTTTGCTTTGAGGCTCGAGTGGCCCTTCTCCACCATGAAGGTTACTGGCAAGCTAGAGCCTAACAAGGAAGGAAGGGTGGAGGTAGAGGCCAGCTGGCACCACAAGGCTGCTGCCCTGTGCCTTCCAAGGCAGCCCAGTCAGTTCAGAGAAGGTTCCATCAAACCTACAGAGCGTGTCAAGGTGCAAAAGCCAAGGGAAGAGCTTCCAAGACATTCAGGGACAGGACAGGTGGGGTCAAGTTCTTGAAAACTGGGGGCAGAAGTCAGCTGGGGAGCAGCATGAAAGTGAGCGCTGAAGCCA